TAAATGTTCCATTTGTAATCTTCACAAGAATGAAGAATCTTAGAATTAATACAAATCGACTTTATTCTCTACTTCTAAGAATCCTTAAACATCTCCGTATCAAAGGTCTTTTAAATTTCCAGCATGGTCTTAACTTTGTTAAATTATCAGTTCTTTCAGGCAAGTTATCCATCATCTTATGATTTTTGCAAATTTGTATTTGGGTTTGAATCCCAACACTCCATACTAGATGTGCTAGTAGAGCAAGTTATATATCTTTCTAAGTCTCAGTTTTCATAATCTCTAAAACAGAAATAATATGGAAACCTACCTCCTAGTGTTGATGTTTAGGTTGAAGTTTAAGAAAATGTGGAAAGAATGTGACAAATAGTAAGAACTTACTGCAAGTTATTATCTAGTGTTGTTTTATATTCCTTATTATACTAGGGACGTGGGCATGCAAAAATGATTTTTTGAAGATGCTAATGTAGAATTGAAGTCTAAATGACAGGCATATTCAGAATGTTGTGAGTGAGATTAAGATTAGAGAATAAATAAAATTAAAAAAATAAAAAATTAAAAAACAAGAGAAAACCAAAAAGGATGAACTTCCTTTGACTTGAACCAAATGTATAAATAGCGTAGCTGGGATCACAGACAGATTTTCACTAAGACAACTCAGATGCTCCTTGGACTCTCACGTGGAAGCATGTGGGTTGTCTAAATGTTAACAAGTCTCTTCTTTCCTATTGCAGTATCCGTACCGTCCTGACGTTTTGAGGCAATACAGATGCCTTCCCTTGTAGCAGTCTTCATCCTCCTCTACCCTACATGATCTGGAGCAACAGATGGGAAATATCATAATTCTGCTCTTCAGAGATGTATTCAATAAATTACACATGGGGGCTTTCTAAAGAAATGGAAATTGATGGGAAATTATTTTTCAAGCAAAAATTTAAAATTCAAGTGAGAATTAAATAAAGTGTTGAACATCAGCTGGGAAATTGAAGCCAATAAACCGTCCTTCTTAACCATTCTACTGTGTCATCTTTGCCATTGAGGAAAAATATTTCCTGTGACTTCTTGCATTTTTGGTACCTTCATAATCTTTAGTCATTGAATCCAGTGGAGGGGAACCTTCACTTGCCCTGAACACACACCTGCTGGGCCACTGTGCTTGAAATCTCCTACTTCTATCTCAGTTTTCACTGTCGGCATTTTCCTTTTCTAAATAAAATGTACCAAATCCCTAGGGTAAAAGCTATGGTAAGGTAAAGGATAGACTCATATTTACAAGTAGTGAAGGTCCAAGAGTTCTAAATACAAGAAATTTCTTGTGAACTCAAATAAAATGTCCCACATTTTACTGCAATAAAGGGTAGTGTTTTTATGGCTTTTATACTATTTCTTTATGGTTGATGTACAATTGATTTTTAAAAATAATAGTAGATTTCTTGCTTCATATGACAAAGGCTCAATTACTAATTGTCAAAACTGAACTATTCCTGGAATCATGTTCAAGAAATCTGTAATTTTTGCTCACAAAAGTACTTCCTTGACTAAATAGTATTAGTTTATGGCTATAAATGATTATTTAGATGATGACTGAAAATGCGTATCAAGTAATTAAAAGCTATATGGTGGCTTTAAGTGTAGAGATGGGGTGGCAAATGCTGTGAACTCAGAATGTAAAATTGGTAACTGAGAAATGGGACAAACACCTACATAAAATATGTATATATATTCCAGTGTAGAAATTATTGGCTTGGTCTGTAACCAAGTATTGCACAGAAGTGCCTTCATAGGTGCTGAAACAGGATTATGAGAGTGACAGACACAGGAATGAACAAGACAGGGAGAAAATGTGCATGGTTGTGAGAATATATTGCTTTGATTCTTTGACTTCTCATGATATATGAAAACAAATAAAGTTGGGGGTTGACTTCAATAATATCATGA